AGCCTTCCCAAGGTGAGCTTCATGACCAGCCGCATGAAATCGCTGAAATATCTGGACATGAGCAACAACTTGCTGCATCACGACGGAGCCGACGTGCAGTGCCAGTGGGCTGAGTCTCTGACAGAGCTGGTCCTGTCCTCAAATCAGTTGGCAGATGCTGTGTTTGGGTGCTTGCCAGCCAACATCCAAAAACTGGACCTACAAAACAACCAGATCAGCAGTGTGCCCAGAGGGGTGGCTGAGCTGAAGTCCTTGAGGGAGCTGAACCTGGCGTTGAACAGGCTGTCTGACCTGCCGGGGTGCGGCGGCTTTCCGTCCCTGCAGCTCCTGAACACGGAGATGAATTTGATCCTCACCCCATCCGCCGACTTCTTCCAGAGCTGCCCGAGGGTCAGGGAGCTCCAAGCCGGGCACAACCCGTTCAAGTGTTCCTGTGAGCTGCAGGACTTTATCCGGCTGGAGAGGCAGTCTGGGGGGAAGCTGGCTGGCTGGCCAGCGGCCTACGCGTGCGAGTACCCGGAAAGCTTGCGAGGGACGGAGCTGAAGGACTTCCACGTGAGTGAACTGGCTTGCAGCACAGTGCTCCTGCTTGTGACGGCTCTGCTGCTGACGCTGGTGCTGGTGGCCGTGGTGGCCTTTCTGTGCATCTACCTGGACGTGCCGTGGTACGTGCGGATGACGTGGCAGTGGACGCAGACGAAGCGAAGAGCTTGGCACGACCAGCCCGAAGAGCAGGAGAACGTTCTGCAGTTTCACGCCTTCGTTTCCTACAGCGAGCGCGACGCGCCGTGGGTGAAGAACGAGCTGATCCCCAACCTGGAGAAGGGGGAGGGCTGTGTCCAGCTGTGCCAGCACGAGAGAAACTTTATCCCCGGCAAGAGCATTGTGGAGAACATCATTGACTGCATTGAGAAGAGCTACAAGTCCATCTTTGTGTTGTCTCCCAACTTCGTGCAGAGCGAGTGGTGTCACTATGAGCTGTACTTTGCCCATCACAAGTTGTTCAGTGAGAATTCCAACAACTTAATCCTGATTTTACTGGAGCCGATCCCTCCGTACGTTATCCCTGCCAGGTACCACAAGCTGAAGGCTCTGATGGCAAAGCGCACCTACCTGGAGTGGCCGAAGGAGAGGGGCAAGCGTGCCCTTTTCTGGGCTAACCTGAGGGCAGCTATTA